GTGTTGTAGTGCACCCCCTACACTACATGTGTAGTACGGTCAATCCGGCCGTCCATCTCGGCAATAGACGGTTCGAATTTTAATCCGAATAATAGACGGCTAGGATTTATAGGAGCTCGGATTAAATCTAAGCCGTCCGCACCGAAATGACCGGTCGGATACACAATTCTTCCTTCGTTGCCATTTTAGTCGCCCTAGCTGCATTTTCTTGTAGTGTAATTAATTGCCTTGCGAAAACGACAAGATTTGACCGGCCATGCTGTTTAATTCATACTTTTAATCCTTTTGTTTCTGTAGTTTTCATGTCTTCCCTTAGTTTAATTAGTTGGATGAAAGAGTTTTACAAGCCATTGATGAGTTCTTGAGCTTGAATCCTTCAAACCTTGAGTAAGTATTGCATGTTCATACTTGCAATTTTTGGGGTGGACATTTTCATAGTGAATTATGTAGGATTTACTGATTGAGTGCGTCCAGTGGTCTCCCTCCAATTTTTTTTTTGAATTTCAGAGGCCCTCCTAGCTACTTGTTTACCCCTATAATAATCCAACAACGATGTCTCATTTTTAATTTTCGCTTTAAGCCTTTGAAAAGTCAGAACCGGCTCTAGGAACACCCTGCATTACCAAAAAAAAGAAAAGAATACATGCTTTTTTGAGTTCATTTGATTCAATAGGGTAAACATATTTTCTATTAAACAACAAGAAACATGTACATGTACACAAAAATCATACTATCATGAAATGCTTCTGTTCCTTGGAACACCCCAACAATCCTCAGCTTACTTTCTTACAACGAGGGTGAACGTCTAAGAAAGAAGATGTACATTACAGACAAAGACGAAAGAGAAGAAATGAGTACTCCATCCGTCCATAATTTAGTCCAAAAGTACAAAAACAATTTTGAATATTATGCACAAAAGTAGTACTTCATTTCTCGTTACGACTTAAAATTGTAGAACAGATATTTTACTCCATAATTGGAAAAGCTGTTCAAACCAACAAGGCTGCTAGTTCACGAGTAGACACCAACCGCTTGTAAATTTCCATAACCATCCTACCATCGACAATTTCATTGCTAGCGCTAGCCACCATCGGAACCGGCCCGCTTTTCGGGATCCTCTTCCCTCCGAAAAGCCCAGTTTCCTTGTCACCAACCAAACGGACCATCATATTGATGTAAGCGCTGTGAAACTTTGTCATGAGCTTCACGGGAAAAACAACCTTGAACTTGAGCTTCCGAGCGAGCCGTAGCTTCCAACCGCGGTGTTGGTTGTTTCCGAGCCTCGCGACCTTCATCCTCTTCTTGGTGTCGTCCAGTCTTTGGTACTTCCTCCTCCTCCAGTACCTCTTGAGATTATCGAGGTATGTCGCCGGAACCATGTCCATTTTTGGAGAGAGAGAGAGAGAAGGGATAATTTGGGCGCACTTGTGTATTGAGTTGTGGAAAGAGAGACAAATTAATGAGGGTGTTTATATAGGAACTAGGAAGGGCAATGCCAATGTTGAACCGAACGTTAAGAGCAAATGAAAAGGAGTCCGACTACAGGTACAGATTTTCGGGTACAGCAGCCGGGTACAGCAGCGTTTTGCTCCCGTCTCGGGTCCCGCAAAGATGATCGGAGCCGCTCATTTTGTTCAAAATACGTCGTTTAGGATCCCTGTAAAAAATCACCTCAATCCGATATCGGGAAAGGTGTTTACGAATCATCCAATTTTGCTTCAAAATTTAGCCCAATTTTGAAGCAAAATTGGATGATTCGTAAACACCTTTCCCGATATCGGATTGAGGTGATTTTTTACAGGGACCCTAAACGACATAGTTTGATCAAAATGAGCATGCTGCTGTACCCGCTGCTGTACCCGAAAATCTGTACCGGTAGCATTTTTGAATGAGAAGCAAGCAGTACTACAGTCTTTGAAGTTACATGTTGCGCATGATCCGTACTTTATTATTTAACAACGGATGTCATAATTGACTTTGTCTATTTTTTCTTTCTCTTTTTTTTAAAACAAAAGGGACACACAGTGCACACCTCCAGTGTGTGTTGGGCCCACCTCATTTGTGAGTATGTGTGTAAGTGTTTGTGTGTGATGCTAAAATTATTGCTTGGTCAAAATGGAATATCAGCAAAACCAAGAATGTCAACATATTTAGCACAATATTTATGCTTGTTTGTAGGTTTGTAAATGAACAGAGTCGTTCGTAAACCATTCGGAACCCGAATCGATAAAGGCTTGTTCGAGTTCGATTCGGGTACTAAACTAACCGAACATGTGACACCCCGCTTTCCAATGGCCGGCGGTACTGCAGGATGGCAGGCTCCGTCCGGACGGGAAGGGGGGGCAAGTTATAGTTTATAAGAAAAGATCCCTCCTACTTGTACAAGGCCTTTTAAAGCCGTGAGGGCGGGAACTTCGCAGTTAAGCGTGCTCACCCTGGGATAATCCTAGGATGGGTGACCTACTGGGAAGTCTATGGGCTTTGGGCGTCCAAAGCGGACAATATTGTACAAAGATGGAGCGGGTCGTTACAGGTGGTATCAGCCTGGGCAAAGTGGTGGGTAGGATGCACTTTGCTGCCACGGACCCCAGGGGAGGTTGCTGGGCCTGTGCAACGAGGACGATGCATCCCTAAGGGGGGTAGATTGTGACACCCCGCTTTGCTGTGGCCGGCGGTATTATAGAATAGTAGGCTCTGTCCGGACGGGAGGGGCAAGTCATGCTTTATAAGAAAAAGATCCCTCCTACTTGTACAAGGCCTTTTAAAGCCGTGAGGGTGGGCCAACCCTGGGATAATCCTAGGATGGGTGACCTACTGGGAAGTCTATGGGCTTTGGGCGTCCAAAGCGGACAATATTGTACAAAGATGGAGCGGGTCGTTACAGACATGAGCCTCAATTATAGGCTCATTAATAAATGAGCAGGAACTGAACCTGACAGTATTTGGCTCGATTAGACTCGCAAATCTTGTGTATAATATATCTCATAAGAATTTCACGTATAACCTTGATTATTTATGAACATTTTACATGTACATAATGAAAATTTTATAACTTGTGCGTATATAAACTTTTAAAAGTACCAGTATTAAACTTGACATTTCAATATGTTATTATAAATTTATATATGTATGAGCTTATTTATATACAAAATAAAAAATTTATTTGCAGTTCTAAACCTGTATGAGAATGTAAATATCTAATATATTTACTCCTTAAGGCTCGTGAACAAGTTCGAATTCGAGTCAAACCTAGGCAAACTCGGCTCGAGCTCGTTTAAAAACTTAACGAACAAACTAAACATTCTAAAGCTTGAAATTCGCTCGTTTGCAGCCCTACTTGCGTGGTTCACCATCATATTTGCTTATTTTCAGCAAATATGCAAAGGATTAGGCTTAAATAGTGTTTTGTTTAAATTAGGAATTTAGGACCTCTGTAAGTGGACGGTGAAATTGGTCCCTCAGAATTAATCGAGATGCACATAAGCTAGTCCGAACATTCAAGCTATAAAAAAAACAAACAAACAAACATACAATAGTGCTTTGTTTACTTGTTATGCCACTTCCTAAAGGATAAAATCAAATAAGCTAATGAGATTCTTAGCTTACTTAATTTGCGTTTTTCATATTTGTTTCATTTACAAAATCAGAAAATAAGGTAGCTGACTAAAAGGGCCCTTTAATATTGAAGCTCGGTTTAGATGGAGTCTTAGGGGCTGTTTGATAAAACTGAAAACTGAAAGCTGAAAGCTGAAAAGTTAAGTATTGAAAACTGAATGCTGAATTTTTTAAGCTGAAGAGCTGTTTGATAAACATATTAAGCATTAATTTAAAATTAATGAATTAATTTTAGTTCTAATTCTCTTTAATTTTGGTAATTGTGGTGGTGGTGGTGATGGAATGGTAGTGATGAGGGTGGTGGCGGTGGAGAGATGGTGGTGTGATAGTGACGGTAGAATGATGGTGGTGGCGGTGGCGTAGTAGTAGTGGTAGGGGTGGTGTGGTAGTGGTGGTGGTGGGGAGGGTGGAGTGGACTAGTGGTGGGTGGTAATAGTTGTGGTGGTGAAGTGATGGGGGTGGGGGTGGGGGTGGAGTGGAGTGGAGTAGTGGTGGTGGTAATGGTAGCGTCGTGGTGGTGGTAGTGGAGTGGTGGTGGTGGAGTGGCGGTGGTGGTGGTGGTGGTGTTGGTGTTGGTGGAGTGATGGTGGTTGTGGTGGCGGTAGCGTGGTAGTGGAATAATGATGGTTGTGGTGGTGGTAGCGTGGTAGTAGAGTAGTGGTGGTGGAGTGGTGGTGGGAGTGGTGGCGGTTGTGGTGGTGGGAGTGGAGGCGGTTGTGGTGGTGGTGGTGTAGTTGTGGTTGAGTGAAGACGGTGGTGGTGGTTGAATGCAAGCATATAAGAATTCAGCCAGAATTAAGTAACTCAAAGCTACTTAATTTTTATCAACTTTTTACACTATATTTTAAGTTGCACTTAATCTGTTAAGTAATGTAAAATGTGGTTATCAAACCTACTTAATCACTTGTTACTTAATTGTTTCAGTTTTAAGTGCTGAATATGGGATATCAAACAACCCCTTATTGTAATTTCATCCTTTTAAAATTTTGTTCGGATAATTGAAGGTAATAAATAATAATATATGATGATGCTTTTTAGCTTTGTCCTGACGAGATCTAGATAATCAAGAAAGCAATTTTTTATTATCATAAAAATGTCACTAAAAATTTCAAAAAAAAAAAAAAAAACCGAAGTTTGTCCGTATTATTTTATTTTCCCAATCCTACTAATAGATTAACAAAATAAGAATTTTGACCAAAAACCGAAAAATCCACTCAGCCCGAAAGTAAATGTTTTCTGAGTTCAGCTGGCTCTCTCTTTTGGCTACATGCGGAGGCGGACCCACCATAGGGCACGTGGGGTCACGTGCCCCCACGCTCTTTTTAAAAAAAAAATTTCCCGATTTTGTATGTATATATATTATATATGCTATCTCGTATAATTATGTTAAAGCCTGGTGCAGTGGTAAGTGACAGGTAAAGGAAAAGAAAGGGCGTGGGTTCGAGTCCCACTCCTTTAACGATTTTTGGTTTTTTGTCAAAATCCACTAGAAAGCGAATTTGAGTCAGCATGTTTGGCAGTCTGGTTCCAGTTCCTAACCCCCAGCAGTTTCGCGGAGAACTCTTTTACAGCCAAGGTTTTCCTCACTCTCCAATGTCTCCAATCATTTGTTTAGTACTCAATATGAATTCCCACATTGTATTTGTACATTTTTTATCCCCGAAATTTGCACTTATAGAGTTAATAATAGGAAAATAGATAATGAATATGTGATAATTTCGTTTTAACGCATGTAGTCGAAGTGCGCAAGTTTGCCCAAGTAGCTTGTTAAAAATTATTACATTATCATGAATGCTAATTAAAATTATTTGGGTGTGAATGTGTTTAACCGTAACTCATATATTACAGCGTCCCAAAAAAAATTGGTGCCCCCACTATCTCAAATTCCTGGGTCCGCCACTGGCTACATGGCACTAGAGCTGTAAACGAACCGAGCAGCTTGCGAGCTCGAGCTCGTTTAATAAACGAGCTGACTGGAGCTCGGCTCGTTAAGGCAATAGGGCTCGAGCCAAGCTCAGCTCAAACTCGAGGTTTTTGCTCGTTTAGTAAACGAGTCGAATTCAAGCTCGACAAAGCTCAATTCGGCTCGTTTACAGCCCTATGTGGCACTAGTGGGACAGAAATTCGGACGTATGACGCAAATGAAAAAATGGGGTCAATATTGGCAGCCCGACTAAGGAGGAAGAGTATCATTGTTTGCTTGGAAATAAATTTAGAGGTGGCAAACGGGCGGGTCCGGGCGGGTTTGGGCGGGTTGAAACGGGTCGTGGGTCAAATATGGGCGGGTCGAATATGGTTCAAAAAGTAAACGGGTTGAAACGGGTCGGGTCAAATATGGGTCAAGCCAAACCCAAACCCGCCCGACCCGACCCGTTTTCCTCCCCTCTTTTTTTTTTTTTTGGTTTTGGTTTTGTTTTTTGTTTTCCTTTTTCTCCCTTCCCCCCGCGGGTGATTTGTCTCAATAAGGGAATTCAGAAAAGTAAAATTTTATGATTTAAACTCAATTTTTTGTATTTGTTTGTTTTGCGACAAACTTTTTATTCCTATTAGTTCGTCTCAACGAGAGAATCGAAAAAGTAATTTTTTTTTTACTTTTACCCTAATATTTTTTGTAATATTCAAGATAAATCCCAACAATCGGTTTTTTGGGCTTTATCTTGGATGTTTTCAAAAATATTTGGGTAAAAGTCAAAATTTTTTACTCCGTACTTTTCTGATTGGAGCGAATCAAAAATCGTAAAATACTTGTCGCTCATAGGAGCTCAAGGGATTGGAGAGAGAGAGAGAGAGAGAGAGAATTTGCGTGGATGAATTTTAGAGGTGGCAAATGGAAAAGTAAAATTTTTTGTCCTTTACCTATATATTTTTTAAAAAAAATCACTTTAAAAAAAAAGTCAAAAAAAATTGGTGTACTTATCTCACTGGAATGGAGAGATTCTTAGAGAGAGAGAGAGAGAGAGAATTTGGTGTACTTATATCACTGGGACATTTTTCTAGCAAAAAAACGGGAGTTCATAAAGGAGGGAGAGAGAGAGAGAGAGGAGTTGAAATGAAGGAGTAGGATTGAATTTGATCTGGTTGTCTATCTCTCTCTCTCTCTACACTTGGATTTATTTACTCTCTCTTCTAATCTCGACTCTCTCTTCTAATCTCGATGCCAAATGTGTACCAGAGAAAGACGGGGGGAGAGTGTGGGCTGAGAGAGAAAGAGGTGTTGGGCCATTTTTAATTCTGACCCATATTTAACCCACTCTCAACCCATCTAAACCCATATAAATATGGGTTGATATGGGTTCAACCCATATCAACCCATTACATAATATGGGCGGATTGGGTTGGGTTATAAGTGGACGGATTTGGGCGGGTTAAGAAATATGGGTTTGGATTGCCACCTCTAGAAATAATCAACAAATATCTGAAGCTCTACAGCAACCGAATTAATCTTTAACTATGCGAGCCCCGAAGGTTAATCCAAGCAGATTTGCTCCCCATACAATTATTCAAGGTTCGATTCTTGAGATCAGACTGCTGGAAAGAAATTTTTGTGAATCCCCTGATTCCGGCGTGGATAGCCGGGTAGAAAATTATTCGAGATTCATGTAAGCTTATCCGAACACCCCTGACTGTCGGGAAAAAAAAGTCCTTGCATTATGCAGATGGCATTTTGGGTTGATTGACTCCTAAATTAATTGAAATAGCTTGACTGAGATTGATGGGAGTGTTTATCGGCTTACACTTTGACAACGTTGGGCTGAAACAGGAGCCAATCTCTAATTTTCTCTTTTTATAACAGGTGGTCAATGAATATGGTTTTCTTGTTGCATCCAATTAATGGACTTGTAGTGACTAGTCTTATACTACAACAACAACAACAAAACCCATGTAGTCCCCAATCATTGGGGTATGGGTATCCGTTCTAATCCAGCTAGCGGTCTGTGGACTGTCCATGGGAGCAGTTTTTTCCTTTACTCTTGTGTTTAGTTCGTTGTTTCAAATGGCATCAGAGAGAGCAGGCCTAGAGACCCAACTAAATTTATGTGCATATTACCATGCTTCCTTCATTAATAGTCCAAAGTATCGGTATGCACATAAGTGACTAGTCTTATAGAACTTTTAAAAATTTACATGAAAAACTAATACAATTGTGAAGAAAATTTGGAGTTGTGCAAGGTCCGGGCACCCGGCGCCCCCTTTCGTCATGGTGGTGCTCTTGTACGTATTTCCCTGTAAGCACCTCATTGACTAATTCAGCTTATCTAGTTCATTTTTTTTTCTTACTGTTTTGTTTGGATCATGAATTTTTTTAGATATTTTCCATGCGAAAAGAGATATGAGAGGGAAGAAAACAATAGGGAAAAAAAAAAAAAAAAGCCTCTCCAGTTGTTGGGGACGGGATGCAAAAAATCACATGTTCATGGGTGCGTCCAGTGGTCCGGTCCCCTCCAGGATGCAAAAAGCCTCTCCTGCCTTGGCACCCAATGAGAGTTGTCACCACTAGCTAGGAGGTTTGCTCTCACCCTGGAGGTGCGAGTTTGATTCTCAGTTGTATGTCGACCAGCCCGAGGTGGACTAGTCTCATCTTATTTGAGTGTCAATTAAGATACCTCACATGTTGTAAAAAAAAAAAACTGCCTTGGCGGAAGAAGAAATCAATTAGAGAAGCCTCTTCTACAGGGCTCTGCAGTTTCGAGTCAATTCCAACTAAGATTTAATCAAGCCAAATTATGAGCTCGCTGGATTTGGTTTGCACCTCTTTTTACAGGCTTAAAGGGCAGATTAGCCCATCTAGTCGAATTTGTGCAGAGCTCTAAATACCTAAGAAGTTGTAAATATGTATAGTCTTTTTTTTTTAACGGCATAGGTATGTATAGTCGTGGTTTGTTTGTGGCACAAGCTAATCTTTGACAAGCTTTTAACGAGGAGTTCGATTTGAGCTGTTTGATTTATTTTGCATTAATATTGCCAAGGTTTTTTCAAAAGAAGTTTTATGTGCGTAAGCGTGTAAAACTGCTATGGGAGGGACTGTAGGGATTAGTTTGAGATGCACGCAAGCTGATCTGGAACACCTTGCATTATTGTAGACACCTCCCAAACGAGGTATCGCCATACAAATGATCATCTCGTGTTTGCTTCCACTTCATAGACCAAGATCGTTGATATTCTCATGGCTAGAAATATCTCCACACGATAGTGGTCATCATCAAAATAGAGTTGTCACTTAGTTTATAAAAACTAGGAAAACAAATAGAGATTCCGGGTACGGGAGCCAAAAGTACAATAAGAGAAAGGTAATAGGCACCCCTCTTTGCCCAGTCGTGAGACTGACCCATAATTGTTCAACACATGGTTAGTACTTGTTTTATTTAATTCTAAATACATAATTTATTTTTATCCTTTAAGCAGTTAATGGTGAGCCAAGACAGTAATAAAAGTATGCATTAAAATAAGCAGAACACAACAAAACTGTCCCAGAGAATGGATCCCATGGCCGGTGAATAGATGTCACGGCCAAGGAATCTTTCTGGATTGTTATACCAACCAAAGGAACGACGTTCTAGCCGATGTTCCTCCTCACACCAGAACAAATAATTAACAGAAAATCAGAACACTATGATTAAAATACAGAAACATAAAAATAGACAAACCATAGGCCCCTAGGCCTCACCACCTTGATCCCTCAGTTGCTTGATTGCTTCGGATTGAGGGTGATTGACTGACTTCTTTCTCAAAAACTCTAAGGTTAGGGTTTATACTTCAGGGTATGATTGCTCGGATTGCGGTTGCCTTCGGGATGTTAGAGTTTTTGTAGAGGGAGTATGGGAGAGTGTTTCTGTAGAGTTTCGTGGTTTACAAAGGTGAATTGTGTGTCTTTTTTCAAACCCTAAGGGTCTCTTTATATGGACAATTGGTGACTCACTCCGGCCAATCAAATGATGTGAATCAATAAGATAGTATAGGGTAATAAGATCTTTGTCCTGAATCTCTTTCGTAGCCCTAAAGAATCGGAGAATGGCTGCTAGGGTTTTGAGCACGGATTAAAAGATTAACAGAACATTCCAGAATTTTGAAAAAATGACGATCTGGCGGCCGAGAAATGGATATGGCGGCCAAGGAATGGTTCTCGTGGACAAGGAATCAATCTCTCCGTGAGATTTTTAAACAACATGTTTCACGGGTGAAAGAATGAAGTTGGAGCCGTGAGATCAATCTTGCAGCCGATAGATGTATTCTCTCAGGATGCTGTATTTCTGTCTGAAAGGCTATATGGCTTTGAATTGGATCATCTAAGTGGCTAAAAGTACTCACCAAAAGTCCTAAGGTTTACGAAAAGTCAATCATCAATCACATTATCCATTTATTATCGGGATGGTCCCCAAGGTGGGATTTAAAATAATTGTTAGGCCAAATTAGAGTGTCTACGATTACCAAAAAAGAAGAAGAAGAATACATGCAGTTTTGAG